CTGGGGGAATAACGGGAGCCAGAACTAACAGAGATGTTGCAGTCAAATGTGGGAGGACCTGAGTGGCTGACCGCTAAGTTTGAAGCAGCAGAAATAGAAGCTCATTTCAGTTTTGAGAAGGATGCATAACTAAGTGCAGGTTCAACAATCTTGAATTGATCAAGGAATAACAGGTAATTTGATAGGGATGGAGCTTGGAGGGATGTAGGTCAGCTAGGAGACTGTGATGCACAAATTAGGTGATAATCTGGGATGGAGTGGTGATATTTGGAAGGAAGAGAAGAAAGCTAAAGGGCTAGTGATCTTTTATCCTCGATTATACATATGTATATCAAGACTGAGGGGAAGAAGAATCAAAGCTCTCAGCTATCTGGGTAAAAAGAAGAATTAGAAAAATTAGGTAAAGGAATTTGTGAGTTGGTTTGTGTGTTTGTTCTATAGAAGAGTTTAAGTGGAATGTTACATTTAAGTTGAAGAAATGCTTAGGTGGGGCTCTTTAGTGAGCAGTAGTTAGAAATATGGCCCTGGAACATAAGAGAGAAATGAAGGAAGCAGGTAAATCTATTCCAAGCCATGGGGTTGGATGTCAACTCTAACAAGATAAAGATGTCTAAAAATAGGTGAGGTTAATATCAAGGGAAGGTTTTCTGAGCATATGAATTTTAACTATCAGTTTAAAGACAGATTCTCTAAGATGATGAAGTATACACAGTCCTTGCAAGCATTATATCTAACGCCACTGTCATGAACCAAATGAAGGATGAATATAATGGAATACAATGTAGATAAAATACATTGAGCTTCACTATTGTGATTTACCTTGCCGAGGCCAGGAGTTACTCTGTCCTCAGCATGCTTAACAGCCCAGGAGAGGTTCAGGTATTCGGGGGCCCAGATCTCAAATCTGCTACTAGATGAACTATTACCTTAGTTAATCACCTTAGGGTACATTTCAGCATTTCATGTTCATTAAGTAAGTACAATGATTATGGGATTAGAAATAGTATATGTCAGAGAGAAACATTTATGATTTGAAACACTGAAAAATCATCATATGTCTTTCCTAGGTAATAGGGGCTAAATCTATGTATCTGATGTAATTTTGAGCAAAAATGAGAAACCTAGCATAAAATGAGTATTCACACACTTTATGTGACTTTTCCCTGAAAATGCGAGAAGAGCTTCATGGAGAAATTACATATTTAAAAGTGGTCACTGACTTTACAGAGAGATGATCTAAGAGAAAATGAAATATTAATATATAGTTCTAGCTATAAACTACAGTTCAAAGGAGAAATGAAGAATAAAACAAGTAATAGAGGGAAATTGAGGACTCTTCTAAAACCTGTATTTACATAAAAAATTGTTCTTTTTGGTAAAGTATATAAAGAATTAAAGATTGGTAAGTTTGATGCTTATATACATACAGATATTGTAAAAACTAGTGATTTTTATTTCTCCAGAGGGAAATCACTTATGCATGATTTGGTAGGTGGAAATTTATAATGACACTTTTAAAGAGGTATAGGTAAAATAGGGTTCATGTGTTTACTATTGCTAACAAATATATTTGTGCTTCTGTTTGGTGGTATAGGATTCAGGATAGCACAGCAGCTAAGAACATGTGCTGTGGATTCAGATTTCTTATATATGAATAACAGTTATTGATCAGATTATTTAATTATAGTACATCTCAGTGTCCTAATTTGTAAAACAGTACTTAGCTAATAGGACTGTTAGGAGAATTAAATGAACTAATACATAGAATGAGGTTAGAGAGTTTCTAGCACATGGTAAGCATCCATAAAAAGTTATTTTTTATATTATTACCATTATTATCCTTTTTTTGGTCATAGAATAAATTTACCTCAGTAAGAGTTTTTTCACTCTTCAAATGTCCTTCATGGTTACATTATTTATGTTCTTCAACTGATGTCTGATGTTAATTGCTATTATAGGCTCTTAGTTGCTATAGGGCAATGTTAACTAAAACTTAAGCAATAGTGTTTTCAGTACTGTTAGAAGTATACAATATTTGGTGAATGTGTAAAGGAATAAAACAGAGGGAGGATGAAGACCCTGTTTCAGAAAAACATGTGCTAAGTCTCAAAAGGTGAAGAGTTGGGTGAATGTATACGAGAGGAGAACAAAGAAAATCTTGAAGTTTATATTGAATAAACCTAAAGAAAAACAAAGACATCAAAGATGGGAGCTGTTGAAATATTTCAAATAAGGGATGGGCCAATTTTCTGGTGTGGGGCTGCTTCTTCCACCTTTGAACACTGGGTGAAGAACTGCCTGATTTACACATCTCTCACCTCCCAAATGGGAAAGAAAAAAGATATATAAGGGCCACTTGCCCAGCCAGCCTTTTAGAACTGCTACTTGTGGCATCTGTTGAATGTCCAGAAATCACAGAGTTGCGCTGGACAGCTGTTCTCTCCCATCTTCAGGCTGAGAGGTTCAGAGAGAGTCAGGCAGCTAGGGTCCTAATAGAGTTCCTAGCCACAACACACCACACTTCATGTCCGAGGTATTACTAGAAGGGAATGGTGCTTTCTAGGTTCATTATGCCTCCCAATTAAATCAATTTCTAGTTTAAGAATCCTTGACTCAAGAATACTTCTTTTGATTTGCCCTATACAGAGTAGGAATAAGATTAAAACAAATGATTCAGGCTTAACCAAGACCATATATTTTATATTGTTAACTATTAGGTGTTACCTAGTAAGTAATTCTGTAACTACTCTTTAACTCCAAACTTTTTTTTTGTGATTACTGCTTCTTCTCCGAGTTCTTATGTTTCTTACATCTAGATCAGCTTAGAAAACTGTGTACTATCAACTTAACTTAAATCTGTTACATGATGAAAAGTAAATATTTTGACACAGGTATTTCAGAATCAAAAAAGAGGAGGTACCACCCTGAATGGTATGACTCGGTATGTTGAATGTCATCTCACAAAACAAAAGGTTGCTCATTCGATTACTGGTCAGGGCACATGTCTGGGATGCCCATCAGGTCTCTGGTTAGGGTGTATGTGAGAGGTAACCAATCGATGTTTCTCTCCCTCTCTTTCTCCGTCTTTTTCCCTCTCTCTAAAAAAAATAAATAAAATCTTTTTTTTAAAGAGAGAAGGTATCTATTTTCTTGAAAATTACCATATCGGTTAATAATGAACAAAGTCACATTATGTAGCTAAAATGATTTCTAGCATTTGTGACTGTTAGCTTCAGAGAGTAAGCTTTTAACCAGTATATTAATAGATGAGGTTATCCTTCTTTGAGTAATCAAGGTATAACCACTTTCTGCTATGGCTGGTATGGTTCAATGGACTGAGTGCCACCTTGCAAACAGAAAGTTTGCCAATTTGATTCCCAGTCCGGGCATGTGCTTGCATTGCTGGCCAGGTCTTCAGTTGGGGGCATAGAAGAGGCAACCAATCAATGTTTCTCTCCTTCTTTTTCTCCTTCCCTTCCTCTCTCTCTCAAAATCAATAAATAAAATCTAAAAAAGAAGTAATCAGTTTTTAAGGTTTTATACTTTGATTGGCATAGATTAGATTTTGCTCTCCGTGAAGAACATTTTGCAGATACTGTGAACAAGGAAGGTGAAAAATAAGCTTATGAACTTTCCTTTGATAAAAACTGAACATGAAAATACAAATGCTATGTCACTATAGAAGCAGTATAATTAGAAACAAAAATATAGACATTAAAGTAGTTGTAGGAAATATCTTAAGAATAATATATATTCAAGGTGCATGTGTCAACATTTTTTCAAGAGTTGTAACTTAGCCCTTGGATTATCAATGTCCACTGAAATGTTATTATTTAAAGTAAATAAATAAAACAGAACTCTGGAAGCTTAAGAGGCTAAGACAATGCTACAGTTTTGTTTTGGTAACATTTAATTATCAATAATATGAGAAAAATATTTTACAAATAAAATTTTGGCACTCTATTAGTATGCATAAGAAAATAATAAATTCATATCTTGCACAAACATACTTTATATTTGTCTAATATTCTTTATATATGTGACATAAATGGTCATAAATTAAAGAGATAATGAGTCTTTTCCTTGTCAAGGGCCTATGCCTTCAAAATGTCAGTGTATAAAAATGCATTCTCTACATTGCCAGATAGGATGCTACGGGTGGGCAGATAAATACATGTGCATTATACAGCTGTAGTCATTTTGAGGACTGTGTTCATTGAAGTTGTTAGCTAAATCACATGACACAATCTCTATTTACACATCTGTGAGTATAGTAATATTTCTTTTTTCTTCACCCAAGGACATGGTTTTTGATTTTAGAGACAGGAGAAAAGAGGGAGAAAGAGAGGGATAGGAACATCAGTGTGAGAGAGTGACATCAACTGTTTGCCTTTCACTGATGCCCCAAGAGGGGACCAAACTGAAACCTAAGTATGTGCCCTGACTGGGAATCGAACCCAAGACCTTTCAGTTTATTGGATAACACCCAACCAGCTTAGCCACTCCAGCCAGGGCTAAGTAAGATTTCTAAGGATAGATTTTTATTTAATATAATTAACAAAGACCTCAGAACTTTACACAGTCATATTGATAATTTGTAACACCTTCTAAGAGGTTTAAATCATTCAATATATTACCTTTAATACTATAAAAGTGAAACCAAAAATTGAAGAAGTTGATTAATTGCTTGATATGCCAAAATTAAAACAAACTGGATACAAGAATCATGTCCTTTCCACTTGATATAATCTCACTGTCAAAATAACTATAACTATATGTATGTATATGGACATACAGATATAAATTTACATATTTCGCTTTGTATAATGTGCACCCATGTTTTGTGCGCATTATACACGGGATTATTATGCCCATGTGTTATGCACATCCTTATTTTTCCCTCCAAAATTTTGGCAAAAAAGGCGCAAATTATACACGGCAAAATATGGTAGTTACATCTAAAGGAGCTGATGAACCTACAATGAATGCAAATGACTAACCTGGTGTTACTACTCCATTTCCATTGACCACAGGCCTCTCTTCCTCTTCCTCCTCAGGAGGCTCTACACTTGCTTTCTCCATGTTGCTCACTGATTTATTCCTCTTCCGTTTTCCTTCAGCACTTGCAGTGGCTCCTGGAAGTATCTGGTCTGTTACATTTAATAATAATGGTGCTGGTTCTGCTGGAGGCTTTGGGGTACCGTAGTAATTGTCTGCAAATGATAAAAAAAACATTATGGAGTTAAATTTTTTTCATATTATGTACATAACTTGTAAAAATTTCAAATTTGTATCCTATTTTATACATATATATATATTTTATACAAATACACACAAATCTATATTTTTAAATCTTTTTCTATCTTCATTTGTTGCTTCTCTTGTATTGCTCTTTGGTGCTTAAAGATATAGATCTCTCTTTATTCTTGCCTTTCTGCCCAACCAAAATGTAGTCTTATGTATCTGTCTGATATGGTACAGCACAATTTCAAAATTATTTAAATTTTTTTGGTGACTGGCCTTAATTATAATCTTTTTAAAAATACTTATGTCTGAAGAAGGGTACAGACATCTTTTATTTTTTGTTTTTAGCAAATCTCACAACATTCTGGAAAGGCAACACACATTGTGCTTTTCTCCAGCTTTCAAAGGGCTCTGGCTGTTGCTCTTGATGTGCCCTGCATCCTGCTCAGAGCTGTCATCTCCACCCCAGTTGGGTGGGCCCCATGTCTGCTGCCAGAGGGCCTGCTGCACTTCAGATTACCACTCCTCTTTTCCCACGGCTCCAAGATCCGAGCCATGAAATCACTTGTTTCTCCCATTGATCTAAAAGACTTCTCAAAGGAGACTCTTATTTCTTGCTGTAATAAGAGCTTGGCACATAGTGGCATAGAATAAATGCTTACTAAATGAACATTTTTATATATTCAAGAAGTTAGTACTTTATTTAAAATAGTCTAAGACTGATTGGTAAAGAACATGGTGGTGTTTTTTCTTTTTGAAATCAATCTTACACTTCTAGCAACTTCAAACTCATATTGGTGTTTTCAGTCAATTAAGTGGTTAATTTTTACACTCATTTGCTTACTCATTCATTAAAATATTTATTTAGTACAGACTAGACACCTCCATGATGTTTGAGAGAAAATGGAAAGATGAATAGAATACAGTTCTGTCTTCTAGAAGATCAAAGGTCGGGTAGGGAAGACAGGCACATTTGACATCAAGCAGATCAGCATTAAAGCAGGAACTAGGATTGGGCACTGCAGGCAAAGAGGCATGAGAAGGAAGCTGGCCCATCCGCACAGGCCACTGAAGGCAACTGGGAAAACTGTGCTGTGACAGAAACAACACTCAGCTAGAAGGCATGAGTTCCAGACCTGGCTTTTCTACACAACTATAATTCAAGGAAATGACTTAACCTTAATAAAGCAAACTTTCTTTTCTATAAATTGGGAATAGAAAAACATTATAATCACCAGTGTTTGGGTTGCAAACAACCAAAACCTACTCAAGTTAAGGTAATAGGGATACACTGAAAAGTCAAGAGATGGTTAGTTGGAGAAGAGGCTGAAAAATCTTGGGGAAAATGGGCAGAAACAAAGCAGTCTAGGTGGGACACCCAGGTTGCCGCCGTCGCCCCAGCACAAAAAGCCCCTCTGGTCCCATTGCCGCAGGCACAGCCTCGGTGGGAAGGAGCCCAAAGTTCTTCTACAGACTCTAGCTCACTTTCTGGAAAACTCTCAGGCTGGGCCTCTTTTTGGCAGAGCCTAGAGGCCCAGCCTTGGTCACGTGAGAGCCCTTGAGCTGCCAAGTTAGAGCAAGACAGCAGGTGCTTTCCTTTGATCCAGAAAGACAGAGGCAGAGCCCTGCCATCCATGCATTTTATCTCAGGGCTCTCCCCGGGCAGAAGGTCTTGGGATGCTGCGCCAGCAGAAGTGACCAACGTCCTTTGCACTTTCCCTTCTCACTGGGTTGTTGTGAAGATAAGTGTATGAGGAAGAGGTTCCTAAACCGTAAAATTGCAGAGGTTTTAGTGGTAGTGTAAGCCACACGCTGGCATGAAATAAGCTAATATTCTGAAGGCTAGCTGCTAATACTGTTGCTCATTTTTACAGATAGTCACAGTAAAAGTAATACAAGAGAAAAATAGTATTACCATGTAAAGTGATTCTTACACATGTAGAACTTTTATACAGAAGTCTGCAAAGTGAATGATACACATTTTGCTAAAGGTTACTTTCTAATTTGATTTAGAGTATTTAAAATGAATCAGACCTTTAAATGTAATGAATAAAGTCTGAGCGGGCAAAAACTGCTAGTTGCTCCCTTGAAATCCGTTACGGTATTTCAGCATCCACAAGGGCTAGCGCCATTATCAGTTACTGCTGTGCTTGCTGTGCTTTCTACAGAATCTCATTACTTACTTCTTATCTAATAAACACATGTTAAACTAGTACATAATCCTACATGTCCCAATGAATAATATAATTTTAAGTGTTTTTTTTCCAGTTTGTCTTTCATGGTTTAAATTGCCCTGAAGTAGAAAAAGAACCTTTTACTAATAAGAAATAAATGTACAGATCAGGCTAAATATAAATATTAAGTAATAGATCTTGTTGAATTTATATTGCTAAATAATTGTAGCTGTTGGCATGTCATGTGATTGTAAATTACATATCAATATCCTATTTCTAAAAATTTGATTTATAAAATTAATACTTCAGATTAAATTTTAGATATAAAACAGTATGAATCTTAGTTATGATTATTTTTATTAGCAATAATAATGACAATTTAAAGGAGGAACAGAAATAACCCATATAGTTACTACACTTGAGAAATATAATTCATGGAGAATAGGGTTTTACCACAAACAATGCATAGAACAAGGAAGCTACAAATACCTACACCAACTTGAAGAATCAGCCAGGTAGTCAGGTAGTTAAGTCCTGCAATGGTTCCCTGATGTAACTCTATCCAGATCCATATACTAAGGTGGTGTGCCTTTCACACACAAAAATAAGTAAATAAACACCAAAACTATTTTTAAATATAATTCAGAAATACTATGCCATTAAGAATGAGGTGCCTCTATGCATAGTGTCAGCATTTAGTGATTCTAAATCTCAAAATACCATAATAATATGGTATAATGTTCAACAGCACAGATCATTATGAGATAAAACTGATTTTGAATCCTGTGTTTCCTAATCTGGCTGCTTCTTTATATCCTTACATTGATTGAGTTGAAGAGGAAATGTGGGGCTATAAGATGACTAAAGTCACAAAAACATCTCAACTACTACTATTATTACCATCATCACCACCGCAATTTACTGAGCTGGACACTGTAATGGGCATTTTAACTATGTACTCTTGAATCAAATGAGGATTAGAATAACTCTTACTCCACAGTGTTGTTATAAAGGTTAATGATAACAAAGGAATAGGTGTTCAATATGTGTTGGCTAATTTTGGTACTCATTCATCACGACTCAGCATGAGGTCATTCTTTTGCCTTTGCAGTTAAATAGAAATGGAGGTTTTACAAAATTAAACTATAATATTTCCCAATAATATACAGGGAGCAAGCTGTATTGGTTTGACTTTTGAACCTCATCTCTTTTCAAGATACTAATATTCCCTCTCAAGAGGAAAGTGTGAGGAAATTTGCAGCCTGCCCAGCACTTCATGGTGGTGAAGGACTTCAAAGCCACAATCAATGAGCACAAATGTATCACTTTCAAAAAGGAAAGGTAATAATTGCTACCAAATCATAAAGCATTTTAGGGGATTTTTTAGCCTCCTCTCTTTCAAAAATGTGTGTGTGTGTGTGCATGCGTGCGTGCGCTATCGAGTGGGATACAGGATTTTCTAGTCCACTTATCAGTGAATAAATTTCTATTTGAAAAGAACGATCTACCCATTAGCAGTTTCACACAAAATTCACTGACTTTGTGGTTAAATATGATGGCAAAATAGAAATGATATATAAAATTGTTCATTTACTTCTATTATAATTAGAATGATCTATAAATCTACACAACTTATTTTTAATCAATGTCTAATATAAAGAAGCAATTATTTGAAGTACTTGATGTATTCTTCAGCTTTTTAAGTATTTACAAGAATGGATTTTTTAAAATATAAATATATAATTATTGCAAAGTGAAACAGGATAAATAAACCCACTTCTGACATTATTAATGTAGAAAAGCTTTCTAGAAATTTGAATAAAAAGAATAGTCTATAAAACATCAATAACTTTTTTATAATAATAAAAAATTTAGTTAATGCTCATTTACATCGGACACTGTTATACTAATAATGTCTTGCCAAAGGAGAGGGACTGGAACAGCTTATATTGTTATAAACTAAAACTGCCTAGGAAAATCCTTGGAAATTCTAAGCCATTATCCACTTTTATGTAGAGTCATTCCTAAATCATCCAAAAGAGATGATAATAGGAAAATAGCTTTCTAAGTAGTGTTACAGGAATTACACTCACAGACTATCATGGAATTACTCCTCTCTTTCTCTATACTTGTTAGACCACATAAGTTTTTCAAAAAGTCTTAGCCTAAGTTTTAAAATTAATGTTTTTGTCTTTCTTCTACTCTTTCTAGGTTTATTTTCCCCTGCACTGGTTTTAATGGTGAAGCCAAGGGAACACAGGAATAGGAAATTATTTCACTGAATTATTATAAATTATTCCCCTTTTTTTGTACTACTCTATTAAAGGGTAATAGAAACCAAAATAATATTTTCTAAGATGCAACATACTCTTTATGTCTTAAAGTTCTGATATTATGAAAAGAAGAGGAAAAACACTAAAAACTTAAGTCTGAGGATATGTAAAAAGTCTAGTAGTAAATTTATTTCTAATACTTTCTTTCCCTTTAAATATGATTGGTTTTCTGATGGATACATGTGATTTATTATTTAGCTTATTTTGCTTTTTAAGTAGTAGATTCAGATGCTGACCATTTTTTAGTCCATCGGGGGTATAACAACATGTGTGGGTTTTACATCAAATAACCATAAATCTTTCCACATAGTACTGAAGTGGAGATGGGTTTTAGAGAGGTAATATTCTTATCTTCAAATATACCTCATAGATTAAGGTCTTGACCCTCATTTCTCCTCAGTATACCCAGTGCTTATATTCTTATTTTGGTAACCAGAAAGAAGCAATTTTAGATGATGGTTT